GTCGTCATTGTCATCGTCATCGTCATCATCAGCATCGTCATCATCATCGTCATCATCATCATCATCAGCATCATCATCAGAATCAGCATCATCAGCATATTTATTATCAGCAGCAGCATCAGCATCATCAGAAGCATCAGCATCAGCATCATCGTCATCAGCATCATCATCAGCAACCTCGGCGTCATCATCAGCATCATCATCAGCAACAGCATAACCAGCATCATCAGCATCAGCATCACCATCAGCATCATCATAATCGTAATCATCATCATCATCAATCAGCATCATCAACAACAAAAAGATCATTCACATCAGCATCATCATCACCATCATCAGTATCATCAAAATCACTGTCATTATCCGCAGCATCAACATCAGCATGAGCATAAGCATCATCATCAGCAACAAGATCAACAGCAGCATCATCATCATCGGCAGCATCGTCGCCGTCATCATCATAATCGCCATCATCAGAATCGGCATCATCAGCCATCAGCGTCATCATCGGCATCAGCAGCAGCATCAGGAGCATCATCAGCAGCATCGGCATCATCAGCATCATCATCGTCATCATCATAATCATCATCAGCATCATCATCGTCATCAGCATCAGGATTGACATCAGCATCATCATCAGCATCATCATCAGCAGCAGCATCATTAACACCTTCAACATCAGCACCAGCATACGCATCAGCATCATCCGCATCATCAGCGTAATCAGCATCATCCTCATCATCAGCAGCAGCATCAAAATCATCGTCATCAGCATCATCGTCATCAGCAGCATCACCATCATAATCATCATCATCAGCAGCATCATTAACACCATCAACCTCAGCACCAGCACCAGCATCAGCATCATCAGCAGAATCAGCATCATCATCAGCATCATCATTTGCATCATCGTCATTATCATCATCATCGTCAGCATCATCATCAGCATAATCATGAACAGCAGCAGCATCAGCATCATCAGAAGCAGCAGCATCAGAATCATCGTCATCAGCACCATCATCAGCAACCTCGGCATCATCATCAGCAGCAGCATAACCAGCATCATCAGCATCAGCATCAGCAGCATCACCGTCAGCATCATCATCGTCATAATCGCAATCATCATCAATCAGCATCAGCATCAACAACAAAAAGATCATGAATATCAGCATCATCATCGTGATCATCAGCATCATCAGCATCAAAATCATTATCCTCAGCATCAGCATCAGCATCGTCATCAAGATCAACAGCATCATCAGCATCATCATCGGCAGCATCGTCGTCGTCATCATCGTCATCGCCATCATCAGAATTGGCATCATCAGCATCAGCGTCATCATCAGCATCAGCAGCAGCATCAGGAGCATAATCAGCAGCATCCGCATCATCAGCATCATCATCATCAGAATCATTATCAGCATCATCATCAGCATCAGCATCGTCATTAGCATCATCATCATCATCATCATCATCATCATCATCAGCATCATTAACACCATCAACATCGGCACCAGCATCAGCATCAGCATCATCCGCATCATCAGCAGAATCAGCATCATCATCATCATCATCAGCAGCAGCAGCAGCATCAGAATCAGCATCAGCATCAGCATCAGCATAATCAGCAACAGCAGCATCATCATCAGTAGCAGCAGTTTCCGCATCAGCATCAGCATCAGCATAATCAGCATCATAATCAGCATCAGCATCAGCAGCAACAGCACCATCATCCATCATCATCAGCATCAGCATCATCGCCATCATCGTCATCATCCTATCAGAACCTGAGTAGTGACCCCGAGTATGTCTCTTGATGATTCCGAACAATGAATGCGGGCCCTCGGCGCGGGAAAAGCAACGGAAAATGTAGGAAAAATCCTCATCCTCATCGCCATCCTGCTCACCATCACCACCATCAACTCTGCTATTATGCATGATGATCCTCATCATCAGCAACGACAGGAGGAGGAGGAGGAGGAGGAAGAGGAGGAGGAAGAGGAGGAGGAGGAGGAGGAGGAGGAGGAGGGGGGGAATAGAAGAAGGAGGTTGGCGGGGGAGCCGGCGCGGTCGAAATGATAACAAGAACTGCATCCGTAGGATATGGGGAAAGTTGGGGCCCTCTGTCGGGAAACCAAAAAAAACATAAAACAACAACAACAACAACAACAACAACAACAACAACAACAACAACAACAACAACAACAACAACAACAACGACGACGACGACGACAACAACAACGACAACGACAACGACAACGACAACGACAACAACAACAACAACAACAACAACAACAACAACAACAACAACAAAAGATAAGCAAAATAAAACAACCAAACAAAAAACGATACGCGTGGAGGGGGGCAACATTTTCCGCTGACAGCCAGGGGAGAGGGGAAAGTAATACTCAGAATGTCGTTGCCGAGGGGAGTGGCAGGGGGGACATGGCGGACAACGAGGGGAGGGAGATTGGAGGGGGAGAAAAAGGGGGGGCACCAGAGGAGGGAGGGAGGGGAAGGGGGGGAAGAGGGGGAGGACGAGAAGAAGGACAAGGGGGAGAACCAGAGGGAAGGACGAGGGGCAGGGGGCAGCCTGTGACTCCAGCTACCGAATCGGAGGCTAGCCGATAAAGGGATGTGGACCTGCCCGCCCCGCAGGAGGACGAGAGGGAAGGCGGGAAGGAAGAGAAGAGAAGGATGAGGAGAGAACGAGGAGGAGGAGGAGGAGGAGGAGGAGGACATGGCGGGTGAGCAAGAGGATGAGCAGGAGGAAAGGAGGAGGTGGAGGAAGAGGACGAAGATCAAGGACGGATAGGTTTAGCGTGTCTCGGGGGCACGACTTGCAGCCCCCCGACGGAGAAGGCCTCCTCGCTCTAGTCTCCAAGTGTCTTCACTTTCCCCCTTGAGTGAGAAACTTCGACCTCTGCCCCCAGTACAGCGATGTAGTACCGAAACCGACGCTGGTAGTACTGGTGCTGTCATGCGCAGCGCAAGCTCGTCCCAGAACGTACGGGTACGCATCCTGAAATAATTTCTGGTCGTTGTACTCGGGGCAAAGTTCGAAGTTTTTCGCATCCCCCTTCGCCCGCCACCCCCCCCCCCATTGCCCCTCCTCGTCCTCTCCGCCCTCCGCCCACCCTTCCTGCCCCTCCCGTTCTCCCGCCCTCCCTCTCCGTCATTTCCTCCTTCCCTCCTCCCCAGCGGGTTCGGGAGGAGGGCAGTGGAGGGGGAAGGACGGAGGAAGAAGCGCAGGAGGCGGAGGAGGGAGCACAATGACCCAGAGGAGAAGAAGGGCGGCCAAGAGCACGAGACGAGAAGAGAACGACGTCCGTCAATCGTCCCGTAGAGAGGCGGCGAGCGCTGGCCTGCGTCGGAAACGCACGAGGCGGAAGAGGGAGAGGAAGAGGCCGACGACGACGAGGGAGGGGTCGACGGACTGCCTGTGGTCTTCCGGGGGTGTTCGGTGGCTCGAGGCGGCTTCCAGCTGCCTGCGGCGGTCCTCGGAAGCTCTCGGGCACAGTCGGCGGCTTCCCGGGGGTTGCCGGAAGAGGACGACGCAAAAGGATGAGCAGCAGCAGCAGCAGGGAGCAAGAGTTCCCCCCTCCTTCTTTCATCCTTCCTCTTTTCTCTCCCAAGTGTTTGCCCCCCCCCCTATTTCTCCTCAACGTCCTTGCTGACCCTGATTATCATCATCGACCTATTCATCACCATCACCTCCCTCTGTAGCACCGTCATGGTCCTACGATTCATCGTCCACGTCACCATCTCCGTCGCCACCACCACCAGTACCATCCTCCTCATCATCACCATCATCTGCACCATCATCATCATCACCACCACCACCACCATCATCATCATCATCATCATCATCATCATCATCAGCATCATCATCATCGTCGTCGTCGTCATCATCATCATCATCATCATCATCAGCAGCATCATCATCATCATCATCATCATCATCATCATCATCATCATCATCATCATCATCATCATCATCATCATCATCATCATCATCTCATCATCATCATCATCATCATCATCATCATCATCATCATCATCATCATCATCATCATCATCATCATCATCATCATCATCATCATCATCGTCATCATCATCATCATCATCATCATCATCACCATCCTCTCCTCCATCATCATCATCATCATCATCATCCTCATCCTCATCAGCATCCACATCAGCATCATCCTCATCGTCATCGCCATCATCATCATCATCATCATCATCATCATCATCATCATCATCATCATCACCATCAGCATCTTCATCATCTTCATCATCAGCAGAAGCATCATCATCAGCATTAGCATCATCAGCAGCATCATCAGAATCATCATCATCATCAGCAGCAGCAGCATCAGCATCATCATCCTCATCATCATCAGAATCATCATCAGCATCATCAGCATCATCATCAGTATCATCACCATCACCATCACCGTTATCATCATCATCATCGCCTCATCGTCACCATCATCATCGCCATCATCTTCATCATCCTCATCACCACCACCATCATCATCAGCAGCAGCAGCAGCATCAGCATGATCATCATCATTATCGATATCATCACCACCATCACCACCATCGTACTCATCATCGTCATGATCGTCATCGCCAATGATCGTCATCCTCGTCATCACCGTCATCACCGTCAACGTCGTCGTATGAATCTTCCCAACCACCAATACCACAATCACTGGCATCCTTCCCGCTAACATCAGCGTCGTCATTGTCATCACCATCACCTTCACAACCACCATCGACAACACCAAGATCGCCACCACCATCGCCATCACCATCAGAAACGTAAACCGTTCACAACGTCGTGAACTATCGCATGCAACGCCAACGCAAGCATACTCACTGTCAGTATCGTCATCATCGTCGCCAGCATGAAATACATCATCATCCGCACCATGATCGTCATCATCGTCGTTACCCCCTCTTCCCTCTCACTCATCGCAGAGAAGCGCGGCCTTGGTCTCCCCACTGTCTTCGTGGAGCGTTGCGCCGATCCCCCACGGCGGCTTGGTGTAGCTGAAGGCGGAGGGGTCGGGGGGGGGGCCTGCTCCTCGTCATCCTCAACCTCCCCCTCTTTATCATCGTCCTCAGTACCTTCCACCCTATTCACCACCACTACCCATTACATTTCTCCCCAGCGTCCCTACCCCATTTCATCACACTCGTACATCATTAAGCTCCTCACGATCCCTCCTCACTCGTGCTCCTCATCAGTTCGTCGTACTCAGCGTACGTCGCCGTCGTCGGCGTGTTCGTCGTGCGCGTCGTGCTCGAGGCCGCTGTTAGCCGATGCTGCTGGTTGCCGCCGGCAGCTGCTTGCCCCTTGAGAGCCCCAGGGGCCCCAAGAACGAAGCCCCCGGGGGGGTCAACGTGGGGTCCTGAGAACGCGGGAACGAACCTCTGAGGACCCCTGGGCCCGTCGTCGTCGCCGTCGTCGTCGCAGTTGTCGTCGGCGGCGGCGGCGTCGGCGTCGGCGTCGGCGTCGGCCTCGGCCTCGGCGTCGGCGTCGGCGTCGGCGTCGGCGTCGTCCTCGTCCTCGTCGGAGTCGACGTCGTCGTCGTCGTCCTCATCCACCTCGTGACGCTCGTTCCCGCACGCGCGCCCCAGCCAGGTACCCGTCGCCAGCGACGACCTCGGGCTCCTGGGGGTTCTGGGGGGTCGTGGGTGCTCCCCCCCCCCCGCGCGAGGGCGGGGGGCCGCCGCCAAGGTACCCGGGCTCCCGCGGGAACCGACCCACCCGCACTCTGCTGCAGTCGTTTCCTCTCGGTGGTCGCCCTCCGTGGCCCCTCTCGGTTGCCCTCGGTGGCCAGCCCCCCTCGGTGGTTCCCTTCGGTGGCACTCCTCCGTGGTTCCCCTCGGTGGCTCCCCTCTGTGGCCTCTCTGTGGCCCGCCCCTGTGGTCACCCTCAGTGCCCTCCCTCGGTGGCTCCCATCTGTGGCCCTCCTCCGTGGCCCCTCTTCGGTGGTATCCCTGTGGCCCTACTCCGTGGCCCCCGTCTGCGGCCCTCCTCCAAAGCCTTGCTCAGTAGCCCCCGTGTGTGGCCTTCCTACGTGGCTCCCCTCTGTGGCTCCCCCTCTATGGTCCCCTCGGTGGCCCTCCTCGGTGGTCCCCCTCTGTGGCTCCCCCTTGGTGGCCCTCCTCTGCGGCGCCCCTTCAGTGGCCCCCAGCTGGCGACAGAAAATCCCTCCTCCTCCTCCTCCTCACCATCATCATCTTCTTCTTCTTCTTCTTCTTCTTCTTCTTCTTCTTCTTCTTCTTCTTCTTCTTCTTCTTCTTCTTCTTCTTCTTCTTATTATTATTATTATTATTATTATTCCTTATTATTCTTCTTCTTCTTCTTATTCTTCTTCTTCTTCTTATTATTATTATTATTATTATTAGTCTTCTTCTTCTTCTTCTTCGTGTTATTATGTTTCTTCTTATTCTTATTCTTCTTCTTATTATTATTCTTCTTCTTCTTATTTTTCTTCTTATTCTTCTTCTTCTTCTTCTTCCTCCTCCTCCTCCTCCTCCTCCTCCTCCTCCTCCTCCTCCTCCCTCCTCCTCCTCCTCCTCCTCCTCCTCCTCCTCCTATTCCTCCTCTTCCTCCTCCTCCCCTCCTCCTCCTCCTCCTCCTGTTCCTCCTCCTCCTCCTCCTCCTCCTCTCCTCCTCCTCTTATCCTCCTCCTCTCCTCCTCCTCCTCCTCCTCCTCTCCTCTTCCCTCCTCCTCCTCCCTCCTCCTCCTCCTCCTCCTCCTCCTCCTCTCCTCCTCCTCCTCCTCCTCCTCTCATCATCATCATCATCATCATCATCATCATCATCATCATCATCATCATCATCATCATCATCATCATCATCATCATCATCATCATCATCATCATCATCATCATCATCATCATCATCATCATCAGCAGCAGCAGCACATCATCATCATCATCATCATCATCATCATCAGCAGCATCATCATCATCATCATCATCATCAGCATCATCATCATCGCATCATCATCATCATCTCCTCCTCCTCCTCCTCTTCCGCCTCCTCCTTTTACTCCTCCGCCTCCTCCTCCTCCTCCTCCTCCTCCTCCTCCTCCTCCTCCTCCTCCAGCTCCTCATCGTCATCATCATCATCGTCATCCTCCTTCTCTGCCTCCTCTTCCTCCTCCTCCTCCTCCATGTCCTCCTCCTCCTGCTCCTCCACCTCCTCCTCCTCCTCCTCCTCCTCCTCCTCCTCCTCCTCCTCTCCTCTTCCCGTTCCTCCTCCTCGTGTTCCTCTTCCTCCTCCTGCTCCTCCTCCTCCCCTCTTCCTCCTCTTCCTCCTCCTCCTCCTCATCCTCCTGCTCCTCCTCCTCCTTCTCCTCATATTCCTCCTCTTATGTTTATTATTAACGTTATGATTCGTATCAGTAGTATTCGTGTTATTCGTCGCAGTATGACGAATAGTGCTATTAGTAGTGTTAATATGTGTCGTAGTATTTTACACTAATATTAGCAATGATCTTAGTAGGATTATGAGTCGTAGCAATATGACTAATACAAATATTCTGAATATTAGCGTTAGTACTAATGTTAGTCGTGTGTGCCCGATTATTCTTATCACGAGTGTCAGTGCTAGGTTGTTACGAGTAGTACCAGTAGTATCCTTATGTTTCTATAATCATGGTTCGTATTGTTCTGTTGCAGCAAAGTATTATTCCTCTTCATATAAAGTATTCGCATTATTATTAATAGTACTATCAGTAGTACTCTTCTTTTCAAAGTAGTACGATTATTCTTCATAATAATAGTATACTAAATCTGTTTACCGTCCATAATAATACGCGTACCCTTCTTATTAGTACTGTTATCAGCCCTGTGTTTCTCAATTTTCGTCTTAGAATTGTTAGCATTATGGCGAGTAAAAAGATTATTCATGTGAGTATTCAGATTCACAATGTGTTCCCATCCGTAGTAATACTAGCATACGCCTTCTTAGTACTAGTGTTATGTGTGTTCCTTATTAGTTTATTGTTACCCAGCTTATTATTCGTGGTGGATTTGTTATTATTCGTATTCGTATGGTTCGTCGTGTAATTATTCGAATTAGTAGTATGATCGTGGTTAATATCCTTTCCGTACTATTCCCATTATTACTATTGTTAACATGACCACTCGAATGCGCAGTATCCCCTTTGTTATGATTATAAATATGGCTATTGTTACCGTTATTCCTGGAATTCTCAGTTTCGTCTTACTATTAGTCGCCTTCTTAGTATTAGGCTTCTTCGTCTGCTTGCTAGTATTATTTCTCTTATTCTCTTCTTAGGGTTAGTATTAGTAGTAACAGTATTACTAGTAGTAGTAGTAGTAGTACGTTCCTGCTTACCATTCCTCCTCCTCCTCCTCCTCCTCCTCCTCCTCCTCCTGTTCCTCCTCCTCCTCCTTCTCATCCTCCTGTTCCTCCTCTTCCTCCTCCTCCTCCTCTTCCTCCTCCTCCTCCGCCTCCTCCTCCTCCTGCTCCTCCTCCTCCTGTTCCTCCTCTTCGTCTTCTTCGTCTTCCTCCTCCTCCTCCTCTTCCGCATCATCATCATCGTCATCATCATCATCATCATCATCATCATCATCATCATCATCATCATCATCATCATCATCATCATCATCATCATCATCATCATCATCATCATCATCATCATCATCATCATCATCATCATCATCATCATCATCATCATCATCATCATCATCATCATCATCATCATCATCAGCATCATCATCATCATCATCATCCATCATCATCATCCATCACCATCATCATCATCATCATCATCATCATCATCATCATCATCGTCATCATCATCATCATCATCATCATCATCATCATCATCATCATCATCATCATCATCATCATCATCATCATCATCATCATCATCATCATCCTGCTCCTTTTTTTCCTCCTCCCTTTCCTCCTCCCTTTCCTCCCTTTCCTCCTCCTCCTCCTCCTCCTCCTCCTCGTCCTCCTCCTCCTCCTCTTCCTCCTCCTCCTCCTCCCCTTCCTCCTGTCTTCGTTCTACATACAAACATGCGGGGACCTCTGTGGGGCCTCTTGGTGGCCTCCCAGAGGAGGGCGACAGGTACAAGCAGCACCGTCGACACCGAATCCACTTAGAACGGGGCCGCGATTCAGCACTCAACGGGTCCCCTGGCAACTGCACGCTGAATTTGGATGTTCGGTAGGATGGCGCGGACCCTGATCCTCCTCTTCGGCCTCATCGTTGGACTGGCGGCAACAATCAGGTTCCCAGAAAAATCTCCGGGAATATGATGATGCGGGCCGCGTGGATGCCCCCGCGACGCACCTTGAAAGTTTCCAAGGTACCCCAGATGAGGGTGCAAAGCCCGAAAGATGGCCAGATGGAACCATTCGAAAATCTGGAGATGGCGGTGAAGCTTGAAAGTGAAATGGGAAGGGTGGGTAAAGAAAATTCAGGAGCTGGAAGTGTTACGGACAGGAATCTAAGAAGGAGCGTACGGGGTGCGCGAAAGAAACTGGAATGGTATTCGGCACATCCCGCCACCGTGCCTGGGCTGTGCGTCAAAAGCCTGTAGGGTGATCGGTGGGATGTCGAGGGAGGTCTCGCGGGGCTATATTGGGGGTGTCGTTGGGCCTCTTGGGGGCCATTTTGGGGCCTCCTGGGGAGTCGATGGGGGTTTCTTGGGGGCTCCCCGGGGCCTCGCGGCAACCTCTGGAGGCATTTTGGGGGCCTCCTGGGAGCCTCTGGAGGCGGAAGACTCGAACTTTCCGCTCATGCTCCTTCTCTCGAGCCTATCTCGGGGCAGTCTCAAGGTCCTCTTGGGCCATCTTGGGCATCCCTCGGGCCGTCTCGGAGCCCTGTCAGGCCGTCCCGGAGACCTCCTGGGAGCCCTCCTGGCGATTCTCGGGGCGGGCTTCGGGGACTCTCGGGCCGTCTTGGATCTTCGGAAACTCGAAAAGTCGAGGACCCAAAAAACATTCAAAAAACCTCAGGCAATCAAAGAATCTTCGGGGCCTCGGGCGCCCACTG